TCTCTATGAATAAATAAATAAAATCTTTAAAAAAAATAAAAGTAAAAACCAACCAAACATGCAAACAAAAAACAAAAACAAAACCCAGCCAAACTCCTTGTAACCTTGGGTTAATCGAATGATTCATAAAAGAAAGTTAGTAAGTTGAACTCCTTCAACCTTAGAAACTGTTCTGTGAAAGAAACTAAAAGAATGCAAAGACAAGCCACAGAGTTGGAGGAAATATTTAGAAATCATATTTCTGACAAAGAACTTGTATCTGGAACACATATAGAACTCTAAAACTCAACAGGAAAGAAACAGCCCATTTAAAACTGGGCGAAAGTTTTGAACAGACTCTTCACTAAAAATGGAAAATAAGAACATGAGCAGAGGTTCACCCTCATTAATTCATAGGAAAATGCAAACTAAAACCATAATAAGACACTGCTACACCTCTGCATTGCTCTGCATTTCAATCAGAATCAGAAAATTCAAGAAGTTTTCTTGAATATGCTACACACCTCTCTGCCTGTCTTCTGACCTTGACAGACTGATCTAGAGTCCTCTTCCTTCACTCCCTTCACCTGCCAACTCCTACTGATCCTTTAAGCCTCAATCAGCTTAGGCACCATTAATTCTAAGAAGTCTGTCCTTTGACCCCCAATTTCACTCCCCACCCCTGGGTCTGAATCTATGGCCCTATGTAATAGGTGACGATGGGCCCCCCATTTCACCTATCACTTCATCTACCAAATACAGAATGCTCGCTTGTTTAATTAGAGGTTTTAGTACTCTTAACTTGGATCTCCATGAAGTCAGACTCTATCTTCTTCAAGGTTATAGCCCTAGAAATTAGCACATTAACAATATTGTTGTAAGAGTGAGTAAATTCATATAAGAAAAGTCCTATACTCCTTCATGTAACCTCAGTCTCTGTTTGAGAGACCCACCCTTGATCCCAAAGCTGCCAAGATAGTCCCTGCCATTCCCTAGTCATTTGCTAATTAAAATCCTCTTGCCTCCATAAGAGGAAGGCCTGGTTTCTCTAGGTAACTTGTTCAGCTCACCAAAGTTGGACGCCCAGGATAATTTTGTATCATGGATACGACTGGTCTTAAGGAGACAATGTCAGACATGACGCCATGAACACAGTGTCAGCTGCTTGGTACTTTGCTATAAGCCATTCACATCTGACATTATGATGAAGCTCTATTCCTAAAGGGGATCCCTCGGTTAGTTCAAGTCACTAGTTTTCTCAGCATTGTAGGTGCCACTTACAAAGAATGCTGTTTGCTCGTCTTTACCTGCATATCCTGAGATACGTGCCTGTCCCTCCCTGAGTGACAAAAGTTGCACACACAAGGTTACATCACTCTCATGATAACACCCAGCTTTTGAATATGCTTCTCAAAACGCCTTCATCATCTTATGACCTTATGCGAGATTAGTATTGTCGGGGGCCCTGGGACCGTGACCTGATTTTACGCTCTCTATAACACTGTTGGGAGTCTCTTAGAAGCTTCATAAATATGATTCACAAATGGATGGTTTTAAAATTTATGACAACTCTTTTTACTTCTCCACCAAATATGCCTCATTTTGGGTTCAAGAAGCCAAAGCCAGTTAATTCTGGATTTGAGGACTTCTGCTGGCTAGGAGACCTTAAAGCAAGTATAGAACCCATGCAGGCTTGGTTTTCTTCTCTGTAAAACAGGGTGATGCTCCCAGGCTGCAGTGGGGACCGTGGGGAGTAAACCCGACAGCGTGAGTGTGGAGAATACAGAGGACAGTAAGTGTGGGCGAGCATGTGTGCTGCCATTGTCCCCAAAATGGAGATGCCACTTTATAAAGAGTTTCTGTATCTACTCAGCACGTTAGAATGCGAGAGTTTGTGCACTTCTTTCTTATCTTTTGCCTTCAGTTTAAGAAAAGGAAATTCTCCAGAGGAAAATCAAGCACGCTTCGGGATTGCTGCTTCAGTGACCTTATGAAAGATGGTGACTTGTCCAATTATCTCCATGACACAGGGAACAGGGAGAAGTGCCTCCGAGCCGGGTTGATGGTGCATCACTGAAAATAAAGAGATGAACATCTTGACAATTCACTGAAGTAAAGAACTTTCTTTGGTTTGGTGATCAACTGTGCTAATTTAGAAACCATGGGTGCTGGTTTATGGCAGAGTTTTCGTTTCTGTTCAAGTCTCTGGTTGCAAACTTCACACAGTTGGTTGATGCTGCTATTTACTGCTGCAGCCCGCTTTAGTCTGTTCTTGGAGGGTCTTCTTCACATAGAGTGCAAAATCTGGAGGAACGTGTGGCCAATGCTCTGCGTGGAGCCTCAGTTGAGGTTTGCAAAGCGCTAGCTTTGAGCTCATCTGATCAGGACACCTAAGGGTGTCAGGCAAGACAGTGTCTGTCAGGAAAGGAGGAGTTCCACCCCCAGCCCTGGTGGAATGGGGATAGGGAAGGCCTGACGACGTGTGCCTCCTTGGACAGAGGAGTCCAGCTGGAGAAGGTGCCTTCACATCTTCCAAGCCTTTTGCTTTTGAGAACTTCTGGTTGTGAAAGAGAAATCAAGAGTTGAGTCAGTGAAAGGAGAGCCGTTGAGAAGCACCCCATCCTACAGCGCTTGGGGTAGAAGACTTGGTTTAGAGAAGTCTGTTCATTGACGTCAATGAGGAGCTGGAGTTTGGGGTGGGGGAAAGATTTCCCCAGGGCGTAAACTGTCTCATGTAGGGGATGCCGGGCGGGAGAATGGGCATAAATAAAGAAGCACTTGGAAGAGTGCAGTTAGTTCGAGGAATCACAGACTCGAGATTATGTGCTCAAAACCACTGCATCCTACGTGAACATCCGGCCAAATACCGACCAAGTGCACGTAGGTTCACCCCCCACCCCCAACCCCGGAGCCGCCAGCAGCCAACAGCGACTAACATTTCAGTTCTCCATGCGTCCTGGTTGGCTGTGCAAGGAGGGGGTTTATTCGTTGCTTCCTTTGCGTTCTAGCATCCTGCCACAGCGAGCGGTGTCCTATAAAACCCGGGTGGAAAGCTAGTCTTGCCCAACAACAGATTTTCCGGAGAGTCATTTGCACCATTTGCGTTCGTGATCGCAAACGTGTCGTGCGTCTGTGGTGCAGGCACACGGGTCGGTGCCCAGGCGGGTGCGGACGGTGGTGCCCGCGTCGAGGGCAGGTGGGGGAAGTGTGTAAGGCCAGAGCCCCAGGGCACCTGTGTGTCCTGGGGCGGCTACGCCAGATCCTTCCTGAACACGCCGCCTGCACCGACACAAAGGGGCCCAGCGGGCCGGGCTGGTGCTGTCGAGCCGGGACGCCCGCGGGCGTGGGAAGCAGGGGGCCGGCGGGGCGCGGGATCGCTGTCTGCAGGGGGGGGGCGGGGCGGGGCGGGGGTGCGCGGAGGCTGCAGGGCGGGGCAGCGCTAAGGAGCGCGAGCCGGGCTCGTGGTTGGCTCGGGGAGCGCGGTGCCCCCCGCGGAGCCGGCGGGGAGGGAGGGGTGCGGCGGGAGGAGAAGGCGATGAAGTGCGCTGCGCTACCGCGCATCGGGCGCCGAGGGGGCCGCCGCAGCGCCGCGCGCGTCTCTACCCGCGTCTCTAACCGCGTCTCCAGCCGCGCCCGCCGGCCCCGCGGCTGCGCCCCCGTGACCCCGGCCGCCCCGAGCCCCGCGGCAGGTGCCCCCCGCCCCCGCCCCGCCTCTAACCTGCTCGCCGGCTGCAGCTCGACCTGCGCCCAGGCCACGGCGGCCAAGGTAAGCGGGCGCCGGGCGGGGACCCAGCCCGCCGCCCCCGCCCTTCCCTGGGCGGCTTCCCCGCGGCTCCCGAGGCCCCGGCAGCGCCCTCCCTCCCTCCCTCCCTCCCTCCCCGGGGCCCGGGATCCACCCTCCTCCCCACCCTCCCGCTTCTCCCGCGAGGTTCAATTGTCAGCCCGGGGCCGCGCGGGCATCCCGGGGGGGGGGGGGACCCCGGGTCGGGTCCGCCGGGCGCACCGGAGAGAAACAAAGGAGCCCCCGAGCGGGATCGCGGCGCCTGCCCCCGCCCCCCACCCCCCCGGCGGCGAGGAGGTGTCAGGGGAGGGGGCGGAGAGACCTACGAAATCCCCCTTCCCAGCCCACACCCACCCCTTGTGAACCGGAGCTGGGGGGGGGGGCGGCGTTAGACAATCGTGTCCCGCGCAGCGCGGGGCTCCGGGGGCTCCGGGGGGCTCGGGGGGGCTCGGGGGGGGCAGGCTGGAGGATGCGCGCTGGGGCGCTTGTCCAGCGCCTCCCGCCCCGGCCCTCCGCGCCCCGGGCCTGCCGCCGGAGTTGCCGCGGGAGCAGCCGGGGCTCCCCGCGACCCGCACGGGCCGGCCCGCCGCGGCTGGAGGTGCGCTTCCTTCTGCCCTCGCGTCCCCCCCGCGGCCGCCACCACGCAGCCAAAGCCGAGAGCGCGGACAATGTGGCCCCCGCGCCCCCCGCGCCCCCCGCGCCGCCAGCGCCTCGCGGGTGCGCCCGGCGGGCCTGCGGGCTGTGGCGCGTGCTCCGTCTGTCTGTCCTGCACGCAGAGACCACAACTTCCCCGGCCAGGGTGAGCGCGTGGGGGGAGCTGGCAGGGACACAGGCTGCAGAGATGCCGGCCTCCTGTGCTTCCGGGCACAGCGCGCCCCGGACTGCACCGAGCTGACAGCCCATCGCATGGGGGGGGGGGGGTTTCCTAGTTGCTGAGGATTTCATTTGACGTTGCTATAGTTTTGCGCTTACTTCTCTTGGGATCTGCAGTGGTGCAATTGTCCCCTTGGATTTTATTTTTATTTTATTTTATTTTATTTTATTTATTCTCTCTCTCTCTCTCTCTCTGTCTCTCTCTCTCTGCAAAGATAACAAGGCTGTGTTCAGCAGAAATGGATACGGGAGGAGCAGCCTAGTTCAAAGGCTAAGGGAGGCATCGTCTCTCTTGTCCTGGGATATAAACGCGATTTAGGAGGGCAGATGCCCTACCTGAAAAGGCCCGACTTTAAAGACCCAGGCGGCGTGGTGGTCCAAGGCGTCTCAAAGCAGGTGGCCAGATCTGCGTTTCTCATCAGCGGACTCGCTCCGGCTGTGGCTATTACGGTAATTCGTTCTAGATCGGGGATTCATTTTGAAAATGTGTGTTTTCCACTAAGAAGGGATTAGGGTCCACATGCCCGCCCTGGTATGAATGCGTGTGCCTGCTTGGCGGAGCGGAAGAGCGTGGCAGGGTTCCCCGGTGCCCGTTCCCTCCCTCTGTTTGCAGCCTCCTCTGGGATGTGGATTTGGAAAAGCGGAGAACGTAGCTGGTGTGTCAGTGCCTAGACCTCCAGGCAAATTGAACTTTAGAGTGTGTCGTTTAATACAAGCCATGTTCTGACTCATTCTGGAATCCCAGTCTAGGGCAGTTGAGCAGCTTTGGGGAGTGACAGTTCTTGTTGTCTCAGGTAGTTATTTCACGAAGGCAAATCGCCTAAGTTTGTTTAGATCCTGACCTGACCGACTTGGTAGGGAGACCACCTTGTGAGCCGGAGCAGCCCATGAATGCATCAGTACGGGGACTGCAGCTCCTGCGACCTGTGTACGTAGAGTCATTTTGCTCTCCCTTCGCGCTTCTGGCTTCTGAAGACGGATGTTTTAAAAGATCGTGTAAGCTTTGCTTTCTGGGATGCTGGCATCAGGTATGAGTATCACTATGGGGGATGCTGAAAGGACAGATGTGATCCTGGGAGGATGCGGTCCAGCCTCTGCCATCCTCCCTACCAGCAAAGTGAGGAAGTTGGGCTAGCTGATGTGTGTGGTTCCTTCCAGTTCCAGCACTGGGTGGTAACGGTAGAGGAATCAGACAACTTACCCGGTTTGGCCAGGCCGGTGATGACAGCCCAAATCGTGCAAACAGACCAGGGACAGACTGTAGAATTTATGGTTTATTTTTACACCTTGCGATTTGTTTTGACCCCCCCCACCCCCGGTATCTGTATTTTCCTCTAAATGAAATTAGCCAATGACTCAAACAGGTCTTCTTTTTGTTGTTGTCATTGTTGTTGTTGACTAGGGTGAAAGATTTGGTGGGGTCTGGGGTACCAAGAAGAATATTGGGTAACGGGCTTTCTCCTTATTCGTTGATGAGTTATTGATGACAGCCCCATCTTTTGTAGATAATGGACAATGTTGCTTATTTCCCATGACTGATTTTTTTTTTCAGTTTTTAATGAAAGACTCTAAGTAGCTGTTTCATCCTACGCGGCAATTGGCAATACCATCTGACTTAGTTTCCTTCATAGAATTTGATATTGTTTGCAAAACTTGCTAGCACTGATGCTCGTTAGAGAAATGAGGTGGCAATGACTCTAAACAGGCAAGCAGAGCGTTTTTAATGTGCTTGTAGTAATTTTTACCGTTTAGAGATGGTTGAGATACTTGGTCATTGATTTATGCTCATCTACTCAATTTTCCACCGTAGTACACTCATTTGTTTTAAAGTTACAATTAAAATAATATTCTGGGATAAGGATACCTGCCAGGCGCAGTGAATCACTCCCTCTCTTGTTTCCGTAGCCTTCTGGTTCATACCGCTAAGGCAGCTCTTATCATATTGCAGCTACGTGAGGTGTGGAAGGGCCACAGCCCCCTTGTCTGGAACATGCTCCGAGCATCTTGAGGACAAGCACATTGTTCAATTCACCTCACATCTCTCCAGCACATTGCACTTTGCTTGGGACAGGGGTATGTTCTCAGGAATGTGGGTGGGGTGCATCCCAGGCCATAAAAAATGCCCTCTGCTCCTTTAGGCAGGAGGTAGGGGGGCATTCATCCCTCGGTGAGTCAGATGGGCTGATCAGAGGGGTTATGTAAGCCTCTGAGGGAACAGGTGAGCCAGGACTCAAATGCAGGCCTTCCCCCATGCTGCCCCAGAGAGAGTGTCCCCCCCCCCTGCCCCACATACACACTCTCAGTGAGAAATCAGGTGGACTGCAAGTCCAGATGCTGCACACTTGGGTGCTCTCTTATTTGAAAAACCAGAATTATCCTTTGGCAAAATTGATCTGATAGCTGCTTGGTTCTGTCTTGCTGTGGCCTGAGAGGGCAACCTATCCCGTCCCAGCACTCCGGCCTCCAACCCAGTTGCAATGTGTTTTAACCCTGGTATCTGGATTTTCCTCTAAATGAAATTAGCCAATGACTCAAACAGGTCTTCTTTTTGTTGTTGCTATTGTCGTTGTTCACTAGGGCGAAAGATTTGGTGGGGCCTGGGGTACCAAAAAGAATATTGGGTAACGGGCTTTCTCCTTATTTGTTGATTAGTTATTTAGAGTGTGTCATTTAATATAAGCCACGGTGAGGGTGAGCCCCCTTTGCCACCTCCTCTCCAAAGCTTGCTCCACCGCCCAAAGCTTCCTCAGATGATGGGCTCGTTTAGGGAATCACCTAACTGACCACTGTTTGTTCGAATGACATGTAACCACCTCTGAAACCAGCCAGCAGCTGGCCCAGGGACAACAGTCCTTGCTGGGCCAGGCTGCTCTGACTGAGCATCCTCGGAGGCAGATGTCTATGCTAACAGGTATGACTTCCAGACGGACCCTTTGCATCCATCCCATCACCGCCGTATTTTCCCCCCCTGAAGGAACAGACTGGGTTACCATTAGGAAACCAGGAAGTTCAAACCCCCCTGTCCCACTGTAATGCAGCCCTGGGCATGTTTGACATTTATGGACTTACGGAGAAAACAGTGTGGAAGGTTCCACGTAGCTTTTTTTCAAGTCATTTTTCCTCTCTGAGGGTTAGTTTCCTCTTCTTTGAAAGTAGCGAGTTGAACCAGGTCATCCCAAAGGTCATGTCTAGCGCCATGATTCTGGGATTGTTTTTGTTGGTTTATTCAATTGAGTGAGTTAGAGGGAGAAAAAAATCAGTATTAATTATAATTGCATTAATATTTACATTTATTTCTAAATTTCACTTTGCAATGACTATACTAGAAATACTTAAGGCTATGCGTGTTAGCCTCTGGGCTACCTAATAATCATTTGGGGCCCTCTGTTAACAATAGCTCTAACAATTCTTTCTTATTTGTAAAATTAGATTTGCTATATATATATATATATATATATATATATATATATATATATGATAGTCACACACAGAGAGAGAGAGAGAGAGGGGCAGAGACACAGGCAGAGGCAGAAGCAGGCTCCATGCACCGGGAGCCCGACGTGGGATTCGATCCCAGGTCTTCAGGATCGTGCTCTGGGCCAAAGGCAGGCGCTAAACCACTGCGCCACCCAGGGATCCCAGATTTGCTATATTAAAGGAAAAGATTTGTGGCATTTCTGTTCCCAGTGAGGAGGGCAGTGGTGAAAAAGTGGATAAACCTCAATTTCTGTATAGAATGTTTGCAAGTTTAGGGTTTGATAGTCAAAGTTCCAGGACCTATGGTAAAATGTTTTTATTCTCACTGTGGAGCGTGTTTCACAGTTGAGTAACTCCAGCGGTCAGAAGTGTTCCCTGGGATTCATCTAACAATGTTCCCATTTCCTTCCGGTCCCTCATTTTGCTTTTATTGATTTACTTATTTACTTACTGTTTGTGTTTCTGCCCCTCCTTGAGCTCAGCTGACCTCCGGCCACAGCCGGAACACACACACACCCACCCTCACCCTGCCCGCCAGGTGCAGGAGTCAGAGCTTCACAACCTTCTACCTATTGGAACCCTTTCGACTTTCCTCATAAACGCTGTTTCTCAAGTTAAGATACGATGAGGTTTAGAGACAGGCCAGCTCGTCTGATGATTTTGTTGTACATGAATTGCTGACCACTGGCCATTTGTCTTTTTTTTTTTTAAAGATTTTATTTATTTATTCATGAGAGACAGAGAGAGAGAGGCAGAGACACAGGCAGAGGGAGAAGCAGGCTCCATGCAGGGAGCCCGACGCAGGACTCGATCCCAGGACCCCAGGGTCACGCCCTGAGCCCAATGCAGAAGTTCAACCCCTGAGCCACCCAGGCGTCCCTGGGCATTTGTCTTAAAGCCTCCTTAAACACTTTAAGAAACAAAGCAGTATACAAATGATTTATATATCCCACACCAAGGTTTGGATGTGTGGGTGTTTACTGGAGGTGGTTGTCATGTTCTGTGACGTGGGCATGGTGAGGAAGATGTTAAGTAGTCCGTGCGGGGTGCCATTAGTGTCACTGCTTATTGGCAGGGTATCCCAAAGACCACTAAGCTTCCAGGGCACTAGAGAAAAGCATCTGGACTCCCATAGCAACAGGTGATGCACGCTGCTCACATTGTTAGTTGAGAACCCAGGCTCTTCTGGATTTATTGGCCCAAAGCTTGATGCACACAGAGGATTGCTGAATGAGGATATCGCGTACCGGTAGGCTCCTCTGGGGCTATCCAGCATCTGATATTGGCCTGCGGTAATTTGGGGAGAATTCAGTGGATGGAACTGAAGCTGGCGTTGGGGGTGGGGTAGGGAGGAGGGAGCGCTGGAAAGGGGCACCATCTGTGCCCATAATGACGAATGCCATCATGGAGGCTTCACTCGGGGTCCCTTTTATATATTTAGTGGAGCAGATTTTCCCTTTCACACTTTCTAGATCTATTTGTATTGAACAGATGTCAGGGAAATATCATGTGTGTGGAAGGGGGAAAAAAAAGAAGACCAAAATTCACATCCATGGCCAGCGATTGTGATTCAATCGCTTTGTCCTTAAATTGACACTAATTTAACTCGTACAGACGTTCCCTGCTTTTGCTTTCGGGGTTTAAGTCACAGCAGTTTGAGGCACAGAAGTCTCGGGCCTGCAATTCAGAGATTCAGGGTGACGGGAGGCTAGGGGTGAGCACCTTGGACCCTGCTTGCTTGCCGTCAGTAGTGGAGCTGAGGGGGCCCCGCAGCCACCCACCACGATCCTTCCCGTAACACGCTGACCAGCTGGAAAACCACAGGACACGGCCCAAAAATATAGATTTTTTTCCCCTTAAGAGGACTTCTCTTTCCTTACTGTTATTGTTGATTCCTTTTACCATCAAAACTTAAGACTACTAAGTCAACAAAACTTTTCCCCTCTATTCTGAGCATAAGTCAATGTTGCGGA